AAATATGTTAGAGAATGAAAATTTACCAGTGCTATAAATGACTCAGTCTATTTAAGGGCATTAGGGAAACCCTTAACAAAACTGGGCTTAAAGGAATCACACAAAACCACTAACAAATATATAAACAAGCACTGACAATCTCACACTCTCCCTCAGTCTCTAAATATATTGCCACCCATCTGCTCATATTCTTTCAGCTGCACAAATGCTTTCCCAGTCCCATCTCCAACGGCTCCTTACACTAGCTGTAAAATAAATTGAACAGAACCTAACTTCCTGTCTATTTTCTCTTTACCAGTTGACAGATCTTTTATCCTCTTCATTGACATAGTCTGGCCCTTTGCCCTTCCTCTCTGTGTGCCCACTGATCATACATCCCAGTCAAAAACAGTCAGTAAGGCGCATCGACAAGAGGGTGACATTATCAAAGCAGGCTTTAATATTTGTGAATGATGTATGCGCCAATCTGTCAACAGTGTTGTGTCCAATAGAAATTATCTCCATACCAACTAATGACAGGATCCAACCTGATTAAACTGAAAAGACAAAAGAGATGAGTCACATATCTGGAGAAGCAATGCTTCAAACACATCATTAAAAACAGGTTATAACTAGAGAACTTCATAACAAAACCACACTCATCTCATTGTCCTTGGCCTAAATTCTTGCACCGAAAGGAAAATTAACATGATAAACAAGACCCCCAAATACCACCCAAGAGCTCTGAACTCTCCCAAAGTAGACTGAAAGGGCACTGATGGAGATGAAAGAAGACATCCAGTAGCAGAACTACGTGAAGTGATTAAAGAAGCACTAAAGAAATCTGGCAAGATTAGAGCAGACAAATGACAGGTGATAGATGATAGAACTAACACATAAACTGACCAATTTTGACATAGGAAAGACAAATAAAAGGTTGAAAGAACTGACAAAAAAATTGAAAACATGGATCATAAATACACCAAAGATATAGAACAATACAAAAGGTCCCAGACAGAAATTACACTGATAAAAATTATATAGAATTCATAAATAGCAAAAAGGAAAAATGCGAAGATAGGGTTTCTAAAATAAAGAACAAAATAGAAAATCACAATAAATTATTTAGAGGAATTTTAGGAACAATAAAATAAGAGAAAAATCCCCCCAACAGCTGCTAGACGATGCTAAAAAGAAGACTAATTCCAGTTGAATTAGAGTTAGAGACAAGCTAGGGGTTAATACACAGGGAGTAAATTTCTCTTTACAGGAATAACACTTTTTAACTATGAGGAAAGCTTTCACTATACAGGTAACAGAGGCTTATGTAACATCAATTAACTATAACTTTTTAAAAAGAATCCACACATTCCACAGTCAAAATCTTATATGTATGTCAAAAAGACAAAACCTGCAAGAAAAAAGCAAAAAATAAAAAATATAAGTAAACCTACCAGGTCACACTGTTTGAGATAAAATTTAACTGAAACAAATTTTTGTTTGAAACAAAATGAAGTTAGAAGAACAGGAGAGCTTTTTTTTCAATAATTTTATGAAGAAACAAATAGCAGTGAGGCAGTTTTGAATCCAATTAGTAGGACAGTTTCAATAATTGATACATTGCATATTGTGGTCTTAGTGGTTATTCATTGTACAAGAGGCAGACATATGATATCCTGTTTACAAACACTATTAGAACAGATCTTTCTATTCATTGAATTAAGAGAATGTAGCTGTATATCTATCCTAACTATTTTGAATATACAGATACAAAATGGTTGTTCATTTGTATCCCATTTTTTTGTTTAGTTTTTGTCAGAGATGGGTATCCCATTGTCATTTAAACATTATAGGTGCATGAGTTCAGCAAAATATTCCAATGTAGTCCAGCAGTCCATAATAGTAGTGGGTTTTCCGTAACACTGGCAATGTCAGCCTTTTCCAGCTCAGCATATTAATATGGCTTTACTTTTTAAACTTTGTTTTTATACTTTTCTGCTGAATGGTTAAGACCAAGATAAAGCAAGACCTTTCTAACAAGAAATGTAGCTTTTGTATCTGGCAAGTTCAGTCAAATACCCTCAGGATTTATCCTGAAACCCTGTACCACAGTTTGTAGATCCTTTGTTCCTTTGTAGTGTCAGCCATGTGGATGAGTCACGGCCACTGCTTGACCAATTTGCTCTCTTTGAAAGCCTGAGAGAATGTTTTCTCTCCATGTGACTCTCTTTAGGCACACTATACATCATTGTTCACTTTCCTCTGTGGCCCCATAATCTCCTTGATCAGAAAATTTGGGACACACTGAGTTACATGATGTTACAGTACAGGTTCTAGGAGAGCTTAAAGTGATGTTTTTTGAGCCTTATAAGCAAAATATTTTGAATCCAGACCAATATATTCTGAAAAGCTATCTTTCTAATTGATGGGGGAGTAAGCTCATTCCATGACAAAGAACACTTTAAGACATTCATGAACATCAAGCAAGTGCTTAAGAAAATAATTAAGAATACCCACTATAGAGACAAAAAAGCCAATAAAACAAGTAATCAGATGGAATGAACACATAAAACATAGGCAAGTAGTAAAAATAAAAGCATTATTAAGAGAAAATGAATACACTGACAGGGATAAGTTTTTGCCTCTATAAGAACTTTAAAGCAAATTGCTTTAATTCCCCTGTAAGAAGATACAGAACAGCAGACTAGGTCAAAATTTAGGCCAGGAGTTCATTGAAGTCAAGAAATTCATTAAAGGAAAGGTAATAGATTACAAAAATCAAAGAATGGAGAACACCACTAGACAGAAAGGTGATATAGAAGCCTACACAATCATAGTGGGTGATTTCAGTACTTTGCTTTGACAAGGAGACATATAAACTAACCACAAAGAAAAAATCCTAACCAGCATCAGAGTTGAAATAAATCTCAAACAAAAAGGAAATAGAGACAGAAAGGGAGAGAGAGTTTTCCTCCTCTACAACAAAGTCTACATTCTTCAGAGCACAAGTGAAATTGCTTCAAAATACACCACATAAGCAAATGTTGACTCTCAAATAAATACAAAATCTCAAAGGTTTCCTATGTATCTACCTGAACAATGTGCCATGAAATTAAATCAATAGCAGAATAATCTAAAAAATTTATAAATGCATAGAAAATTACTAGCATACTTCTCAATACTCAAGTTTAGAAAAAAAATAGTGATTTAACAATGCCTGGAATCAGATAGAAATACTTGTATAACACATGATAAACAAACATAGAAACAAATTGTGGAAGACCTGAAAAATTTATATCAGTAAATGCTAAAAAAGTTTAGAAAAAGACATGACCTCAAATGACCAAATTATGAAACTCAAGGCAATAAAAATGTAACAAAATCCAAACCCAAACCTAGTTTAGGGAAGGAAATAAGAATGATCAAACTAAAAGCTAAAGAAAAAATGAGTGTAAAACAATCAGTGCAAAGAGTTAGTAAATCCAAAAGCTGGTTCTTTGGAAGCCTGATTTTAATATTTTGATAGAGTAACTTACTGAAAGAAAAATCTCATATAAGTGCACTTAGACATGAAAAACAGCAAAATCAAAAGGGACAACATCAAAATCCAGAAGACTGTGACTGTTATTAAAAAAATTGTCCTTTAATACTTTGGAGAATGTTGAAAAATGGACAGTTATTTTCAGACACAACAAATTTTAAAAATTGAACCAAAAATTGAAGACTGGAACAAGGAGGAATGAAATAGAAACTATAATATAAAAGCACAAAGAAAAGTCCAAGAACTGATGGGTTCTGCATTCTATAAAACTTTTGAGGATGCTGTAATACTAATATTCCTTAAATTCTTTAAAGAAATTGAAAGATGAGTACTTCCCAACTCATTCCTGGAAACCAGTGTTACTCTAAACCTAAAATCATACCAAGACTCAACTAAAATATAAAACTTCATGTCAGTCTTCTTGATATACATAGTTGCAAAAACCCTCCATAAATAGAAGAGAATAGCATAAAAAGTTCTCAAAAAAAGAAATGATATGACCAAGTAGCTTTCATAACTGAGATACAAAGATGCTTTAAAATTTGCAAATCAAAACATGCAATACACCACCTAAACAGAAACCATTAAAATCCCCCATGATCCTATCAATAGATGAATGAAAAATTCAACTCCTATTCATGTTCTGAAGCTATTAAGAGAAGAGTATGAAAAAACCTCAACTCAGTCTGAGTAAAGCCACATAAGACAAACCAATAGCCAACATCATATTAAGTGAGAGAAGCTGGAGGCTTTCACTGTAAAATCATAAGCATGACAAGGGTACCCGCTGTCACCACTCTTGTTCAATATAGTGTTTGAAATATTAGACAGAACAATCATGCAAGCAAAAGAAATGGATAGACCTAGGTAAATATAGTTCAAATTATCACTGTTTGTAGATGACATAAACCTCTATACTGAAGATCTAAAAAATTCTAACAAATTTCCTAGAATAAATAAGATTCTTCAGTGAAGCAGAATAAAAATACCCAAATCACTAGTGTTTCTTTACACTGATAATAAACTCCCACATAAAGAAATTAGGAGAACAACACCATTCCCAATAGCATTGAAAGATTTAAAGACTTAGGAAATAACTCCAGAATGATATGAAAGACCTCTCTGACCAAAACTACAGAACTTTAGGACAGGAAATTAAGGAGTACATCAAAATTTAGAGGGGCTGGCCAGATAGCTCAGCGGACTAAAGCGCCTGCTTAGGAAGAGCGCAGTGGTTCAGATTCAATCCCCAGCATGCTGTGCTAGCCCCGCCCCCACGGTGCCCTGAAGCGCCATTGAGACTGGATGTGGTGTCACGCACCTGTAATCCCAGCCCTTGAGAGGCTGAAAACAGGAGAATCACTACAAGTCCTATCTGTGTAGTGAGACCGTGTAGACTCTGTACCAAATAAATAAAAGAAAAAGAAAAAGAGAGATAGTCCCTTTTTCCAGGACAGCAGAACACATATTGTCTGAATGGCCATACTGTACTTCAAACTGATACTGAGATCTAATATAATCCCAAGTGAAGTACCAATAGCCTTCTTCACAAAACTAGAATAAACGCTAAACATACATATCTAAAATTAAGGAACCAGAAGAGGCCAACAATAGAAAAGAAGTCCTAGATCATAAAGGCAACCCAGGCATCCTCACAATCCCAGATGTCAGTTCTATGCTGGTGAGACAGCAATATAAACAGCGTGGTGGTGACATAAGCACAAGCATGTGGATCAGTGGAGCAGGACACAGGACACAACACACCCAGGGCACTGTGGAAGAAACCTGCCCAACTCTCAGAGTGCAGGAGGAGGCAGTCAGCTAGTTCAAGTCCCACAGCCCACGCAGACACACCCAGAGGTGCCCATTACCACTCTCCCCGCTGTCTCTCAAGCCAATCAAAGTGACAAACCAGATCAACCAGCACACCATGCTTTCATGTAACTCCGTTTTGGGGGGTTCACTTTGTCAACAATAATCCCACCAATCAAGCACCTCTAAGACCTATGTATTGATGACGACCTCCAAACCTGTAATGGCCCATAGTAATCCTAACTGACAAATAAGGCTAGACCCAAGAAAAGTCTTCTCAATTCTTGAGTCAATTCCCACTCTCTTCTTCTAAACCAGAGGCTGACTAACTTTTCCCAAAAATGTCCACAGAGAAAATATTTTAGGCTTTTTGGATGATACAATCTCTATCACAGCTACACACCCAATTCTGCAATTGTAGAGCAAAAGCTGCTAGTAACAACAAACACATACTTTCTTTTCCGGTTTCCTCAGCAAAAGGAATCAAGAGCAACAAAGTCTTCCATGACACCTGGTACAGGGCAGTGTGTGAGGTCTTGTGCGGGAACCAGCGAAAGCTCCAGAAGCTTTTAGAGACTGTGGAGTTGCAGATCAGCTTGAAGAACTATGACCCTCAGAAGGACATGCGCTTCTCAGGCACTGTCAGGCTGAAGTCCATGCCCCACCCCAAGTTCTTCCTGGGGGACCAGCAGCACTGTGACGAGGCCAAGGCCATGGACATCCCCCACATGGAGGCACTGAGGAAGCTCAGCAAGAGTAAGAAGCTGGTTAAAAAAGCTGTATATACAAAATAGAATACATATACAGCTACTTTCTCTTAGTTCAATGAGGTTTTGAACTAAAACCTTCTCACTAGTAGTGTTTAGATAAGATGTCATGCTGCATCTTGTACTAGGAATTTCTACAAAGACAACAATGTGCAATGTATTAATTATTGTAACTGTACTACTAACCTATTTTAAAACTATCTCATTGCTACTTCTTTCTTAATAAAATTATTAAAATATAAAAAAGATACTAACTTTGGCATGTTGAGGGAACATTCTATAATCCTACAAAATTTTGGAAATGATAACTTGAAGTTACATAAAATTAAAGAATTACAAAATATTAAAGGTGGATGCTATTATTCATTTTTCCAATTTTGTTGAGAACCTACTATGTGGCATATACTATGTTTATCTTGGAAATATCACAACAAATACATAGTGCCTAGAGAAACTCCAAGGACAATGAGACCTATCATAACAGTCCATTAAAATCTAACAGTAATATGCCATTTAATATGTCATAAAAGCATAGCTTTGCAAAACACAGGAGAAAGCACAACTCTGCTTGAAGATACAACAATTAACAATTAAGTTTTCTTTTTAAAATTTTTTAATTGTTTGATTTATTTGAGAGAGAGAGAGAGAGAGAGAGAGAGAGAGAGAGAGAGAGAGAGAG